AATCGCACTACTGCTGCTGCCTCTGAGGATTTCTCTGAGTCTCTTGCTTCGTCTGTAACTGTTTTTTCTCAAACTGATGTTAAGGCCATGTTCAAACAGCTTCTCTCCGCCTCTAGTACACCTCCTCCTACTGCTTTGTCTGTAACTCCAGGTAACTCCTCTTGGTATTTTGACTCCGTCTGTTGTGATCATATGACTTCCAGCTCAACTATATTCTCTTTCATCTCTCCCTTTACGCATCTTCCCTCCATTCATACTGCTGATGGTTCTCTCATGTCTGTTAGTCATGTTGGGACTGTTTCCACATCTCAGTTATCTTTATTTCAAGTTTATCATATCTCTACTCTAACGTTAAACCTTATCTCTATTAGTCAATTATGTGAGCTTGGTCTAAACGTCACATTTTCTGTTAATGGTTGTTTGTTGCAGGACCCTTAGATGGGACAAACTATTGGGATCGGCCGTAAGCATGGACGTCTCTATGAACTCATTCAATTTCATGTCCCGGACTCCCCACAGATCGCTGCTCCTGCATCTGCTTCCTCTTTATCTCATTTTCATCTTTGGCATTGTCGCTTAGGATATTTTTCTATTAGTCGCTTAAAATCTTTAGTTTCTAGTGGTCAATTGGGTCATGTACTTCAAGATAGTTTTGATTGAATACCTTGTCAACTTGCAAAACAACCTACTTTATCATTCAATAAAAGTACTTTTATTTCTCGTGCTCCTTTTGATCTCATATATTCGGATATTTAGGGCCCATCCCCTACTACTACTATGGGGGGATCTCGTTATTTTGTTGTTTTTATTGATGATTATTCACGGTTTACTTGGTTTTTTCTCATGAAAAGTCGGTTTGAACTTAAACATCTTTATTATAGCTTTGCCAAAACGGTCCACACCCAATTTTCCAAAACCATTAAAATTTTTTGCTCTGAAAATGCTATGGAATATTTGGATACCGATTTCCTTTCATTTCTTCAGAGTCATGGTACTCAGCCTCATCGTTCCCGTGCTAGCACGTCCTAACAAAATGGACGTGTTGAACGGAAACATAAGCATATTCTTGACATTACTTGCGCTCTCCTTCTCTCGTCTTCCTGCCCTGAAAACTTTTGGGGGAAAGCTGCCCTTACTACTGCGTATATTATCAATTGTGTTCCTTTCCTTGTCATCCATAATCAAACTCCCTTTGAGCGTCTACATGGCACTCCTCCTCCATATACCAATCTTCGGGTTTTTGGCTCTGCTTGTTTTGTTTTGCTTCAATCTCATGAACACACCAAGCTTGAACCTTGTTCTTGTCTTTGCTGCTTTCTTGGTTATGGGATTGAACATAAAGGCTTTCATTGTTGGGATCCTCTCTCTAAGCGTCTTCGTATCTCTCGCCATGTCATTTTCTGGGAGCAAAAAATGTTTTCCCCTCTCTCCTCCTTTCACTTACCCGCACTCTCCACTCCGGTCATATTTACTAATCCTTCACTCAATCTCTTCTCTACTAACTTTGATACAAGTTCCTCCTTCATCGAGACGCCCTTGTTGATCCCTGATCCCGGCCAGACTGTTCTCCCTGATGGTCCACCTCTTATTGCACCTTCTAGTCCGTCTCCTCCTTCTTCGCCAGCTCTTCCCCCTATCGATCCTCCCACGGGTCGACCTCACCGAGTAACTCAACCACCTATTCATCTTCGTGATTATATTGTTGGGTCTGCTGTTTTTTCCACTTATGAACCTACCTCCTATCGTGAGGCTCGTACTAATCCTCTTTGGCAACAAGCTATGACTGATAAACTTCAAGCTTTGGACAAAACTCACACTTGGGATGTTGTTGATCTTCTTCTTGGCAAGACTGCAATTGGATGCACATGGGTCTACAAAATCAAGACTCAGTCTGATGGCTCTATTGAGCGCTACAAAGCTCGTCTTGTTGCCAAGGGTTTCAACTAGGAATATGACATTGATTATGAAGAGACCTTCTCCCCTGTTGCTCGACTTACCTCTGTTCGCAGTTTGCTTGTTATTGCTGCTACTCGCCACTGGGAGCTCTTTTAGATAGATGTCAAGAATGCCTTCTTTAATGGTAATCTTCTTGAGGAGGTCTACATGCAACCTCCACCTGGGTCTACTTATCCAACTCATAAGGTTTGCAAACTACAGCGTGCCCTCTATGGCTTCAAGCAAGTACCTCGTGCTTGGTTTGCTAAGTTTAGTTCTACCATTCATGACTTCGAGCACACCTCTAGCTCCTATGACTCTGTTTTATTTATATGGACTACTCCTCATGGTATCACTCTTCTCATTCTTTAGGTAGATGATATGATTATCACTGGTAATGATGCAGCTAGTATTCTTCACCTTAAACATTTTCTCCATCGTCAATTTGAGATGAAAGACCTTGGTGCTCTTAACTACTTCTTAGGCCTTGAAGTCTCCCATGATTCTACTGGTTCCTATTTGTCCCAGGCCAAATATGCATCCGATCTCCTGGCCCGTGCTAGTCTTACTGATTGCAAAACTACCTTTACTCCAGTTGATTCTCAGATTCGTCTCACTCCTCTCGATGGGGATCTCCTCTCAGATGCTACTCTTTATCGCCAGCTCGTCGGTAATTTTGTCTATCTCACTGTGACTCGTCCTGACATTGCCTATGCTGTTCACATTGTTAGTCAGTACATGTCGGCTCCTCGCACTCCCCATTATATTACTCTACTCCGCATCCTTCACTGCCTCAAAGGCACTCTGTTCCATGGCCTTCACTACTCTACTTCCTCATCTCTTGAACTATGTGTTTTTTTTTATGCTGATTGGGCTGGGGATCCTACGGATCGACGCTCCACAACGGGTTTCTGTTTCTTCTTAGAGGATTCTCTTCTTACTTGGCGCAGCAAGAAACAATCCCTCACTGTCGCTCTAGTACTGAAGCTGAATACCGAGCTCTTTCTGATACTACTCAGGAACTTCTCTAGCTTCACTGGCTCCTTGTTGATATGGGTGTTTCTTCTTCTAGCGCTACCTCTCTTTATTGTGACAATCAGAGTGCCATTCAAATTGCTCACAATGATATTTTTCATGATTGCATCAATCATATTGAGATTGATTGTCATTTCATTCACCATCATGTTACCAGTGACACTGTTCTGTTTCGCCTTATTACTTTTGTCGATCAACTTGCTGATCTGTTCACCAAAGCTCATCCTCCTAGTCACTTCAGTGATCGCGCTTTCAAACTCAAGTTGATTGATGCTTACGCTCCTTGAGTTTGCAGGGGAATGTTAGTGTAATATATAGCTGTCATACATTAGCATATTTATATACATGTAAAGTCAAGTAAAGCAAATGTTTATTTTATTTTTCTGCTTTCAGTGCTTTCCTGTAGCATCCTATATACAATACTCTCCTCTCTATAAAAGAGAGGGTGAGCTTCTCCTTGTGTAATTATTGAACATAATCAATATATACACTTCATTCAGTCTCTCTCTCTCTCTACCAAACTAACAGAGTAGATGTGTCTGAGAGAAAAAGTGATTGAGAAGGAGAGAGGAGAGAGAAAAAGTGATTGATCGATGTGTAAGAGAGAGAAAATAATTTTGGAAATTGTTTTGAAAAAATTACAAACCAAACAAGTTTTTTAGAAAAATTTTCTCAAAATCACTCTACAAAACCAAACCAAACATACGCTCTGTTTTTTGGTTTTCGTATTTTTTTGTTTTTAGTGAATATTTTTAAAATTTTAAACATTTTTTTTTTAATTTTTTTAGATATACCTTACTTAGATATATTTAAAAAGTAAAAAATTTGTGAAAAAATATTTTAAAAAATTAATGAATATATAAAAATACAAAAAATGTATTGAATTCTCGTATTTTTTGTATTTAGTGAATTTTTAAAAGGTTTTTTTCACAATTTTTTTACTTTTTAAGTATATTTATGTTAAGTATGTCTAAAAAGTAAAAATTTTTTGCTTAAAATAGTAAAAAAAATTCAGTAAAAACAAAAAAATACGAAAAATTTAGTAAAAAAAATTACTTTTTAGGTATAATTTCTTTTTTTACATTTTTATTTTCCGAATGAATATAAAAGAAATTTAAATAGTTAGAATTATTTTTAATTTTATGTTAATAATTCTTCTTCTAATTTAACTATTATTTTTAATATCAAAATGAATATCATACAAAATTATTATTATGATAATTATATTTTTATAATACGATAGAATTAAAATTATCAAAATACACAAATAATTTAACTAATTATTATATGATAATTATACTTTTATATCTTTCTCTGTATTTGTGTACATATATATTGTCCAATTATTGTTTGCTTTTTTATTTTTTCTTTAAAAATTTAAAAATTGTATTTTTTTTTTTATCTGCTGTTAAATTTTGCGGGGTTCAATTTCTGGGTAAGTCACTCTTGTTATATTAAATTCTCATGATTCATATATGGTTATGTTTAGTGTAATTAGTCTTTGATACAATTCCTCGGTAGATGGCTTATATTTACATAGTCAATCTCACTTTTTATCAGTGGTATAATTTAAAGGTTAATCCTCCGCAGCTGATGTTTACAATCCGATGGTATCCCTATGGCTTCACAAGAAAATGAGCGTCATCGATTGGGTTAATTAGACACAATGCACAATTAAGGGGATGTTTGGAATAAATTAAATAAGCGTATTTTTTGATTTTTTATAAAATATGAATTAAATATAAAGTGATGTAATAGAGAAGTGATATGATTTAAATAAAATGATGTGAACTAAATAAAGTAAGAATTTTTTCATTTTTAAAGTTAGGCCAAACCAAGCCTAAATTGACAGAGCAATGCTAGATATCATGAAAAAAATTTCATGAAAATGATCATGAAAGATTTATGACCTTTGGATTACACCTAAAATAAAGCACCACACATTAATCAAGGTAATCTAAGAGTCACAAATCATTCATGATCATTTTCATGAAAAAAATTTCATGATCCCTACGTTTTCTCAAATTGACACAGGAAAAAAAACATATACCTCTATTCATCTTCCTCCCTTCCTCCTCTCTCTGCTCTCTCTCTCTCTCTGTTCTATTGGGCAGCGCTGTGAACCCCGCTTAGCTCCGCTCGCGAAATCCGTCCAGCATCGCTACTTGCAAACTCTGTCCTGCACACTACACCACCTTTGTCTTCCTCCCCAGCCTTGTGACCTCACCATTCTTCTTAGATTGTCTTCACCCATAAAACCACCATCAACCAAGGGCTCATTGGGGCTTGTCTATTGAAGATCGATTCTTTCTCCTAATTTTTCTTTGAGCGATTAAATTTTTAGGGTAGGCCCATGCCATTTTTCCATACTAGCGAGGTTGAGTGTAATTTGAGTAATTGCCAAGGGAGGTCCGTATTTGTCCTTTATTTATTTATTTCAAAGCCTTATTAAGGCTTTAACAAATAAGGAGGTATATGATGCATTGGAAGTTATAGTGGTACTTTTGATTTGTATACATGGGTGGTGCCCTCTAGGTACTGTTCTTCTTAAATAAAATTTACTTCTAATTGAAGAAAAAATAGTCTGTGAATTCATAATTTTTTCCGGTTACCACTCGGTATAGGATTCTTGGATGAGAGGGCAGGTGGTTGTGCTTCATAACCTTTAGGGCTCATAGATCTTGTGGATTCTCTACTTGTACCATGCTTAGTTTTTAATCTTTTATACATTTGGTATAAGCTTTAGATAAGGATGTGGGTTGTGTGTTAGATAACTTGAAAATCAGTTCATAAATTTTTTCTTTTTGTGAGATACCTTATGTACATGAATCCTAATATAAATATGGAAATAAGGGCTAGGGTGTTCCCTGTAACTGACGTGTTGTGCCTGTCTTATAGCGTTTCGAAAAATTGGCAAGGGGCTCTACATTGGTGCCCAGGTGCAATGCAAAATAGACAAGGGTTCCTGCGGTTTTCTAGGCAGCGGTTAAAGAACTTGGCCCAGAATTGTAGTACTTGGAATATAGGATCATTAATAGGTAAAACCATGTAATTAATAGATATTATGATTGGAAGGAAATTTCGTATAACATGTTCACAAGAAACTTAAGTGGCTAGGTGAAAATACGAAGGAAAAAAAATTGGGTTTGAAATTTATTATACTGGTCAAGATGGAAATAAACATGGTGTATGAATAATTGCAGCTAAACATAAGGTAGTAAGAATCACAAAAACAGGAGATAGAGATAAAAATAAAAATAAAAAAATTTATAATTGGAGAAATTATGGTTAATGTGATTAGTGTCTATACACCCCAAATAGGGTTGGAGGAATATATTAAAAAGACAATTTTGGGATCATCTGGATGAGTTGATGCAACAAAAACTTGTTGAAGAGCAGATAACTATAGTTTTATGACAGAATTGTGCATTGTCAAGTAAGTCCACCCAATTTTTCTATTTTACTATAACATAATGTCTCAGATATTCCTCCAACAATGCATTCATCCACTCCGCTTGACCATTAGTTTGTAAGTGGTTTGCTGTGGAAAATTTCAACTCTGACTTGTTCAGATTTGAATAACTTTGTCTAGAACTGCTAGTAGAGCAAGTGTCCCAATCACTCACAATATCCTCTAGTACTCCAAGAGATTTTAATTAGGTTAAGTGTATGAAAAGTGAGCATTTGAGGGTGATAGTGCCAGATGAGAAGAATAAGGAAATATGAAACAAGTGTTGATGGAACTGGAGAATAAAAGTTTTATTGTCAACTACGGCTTCGTTTTAGAACATACTATTTTAGTAATTTTTTGGTTTTTTATGAAAAGATGTGCAGAAAAGTAAAGAGAGCGATGTGACAATTTATAGTGACTTTTTGACTAAAATTGAAAGTTGCCAAACGAGGCCTTAGAGTTTGAAGTGGAATTTGAATTGAAGAAGATGAAATCAAGTAACCTAGTAGGACCAGATTTTATCCTTATTGAGGCTTAAAAATGCTAAGGTAAGAAAGGAGTATCTTGGTTAATAATTTTTTTAATAAGATTCTAATGACGATAATGCTTGACAATTGAAAAAAATATTCTAGTGCTTGTGTATAAATATAATATAGATATCCAAAATTGCAACAACTATAGAGGCATTAAGTTAATTAATCATACAATGTAATTATAGGAGAGAGTGGTTTGAACATTGCTTAAGAGCTACAACATTATTAGAGAATCAATTTAGATTTATGCCTGATAGATCAACCATTGAGATGGTTTTGTCATGTAAAACGAATACCTATTTGATGCAATGGTAACGAAGAAAGATATGATCACTATAAATGGAAATGTTAGGGGGAGAGGAAGACATAAATTGATGTGGGATGCGGTAGTAAAAAAAGATGTGAATATACCCTTTGGTAGAGTAGAATGGTGAAAAAAGATTTGTGTAGCCGATCCCACTTGATTGGGACACAAGGCTTAGTTTGTTTTGTTTTGGTTTGGTTTGTCTTGATTTGGCTGTGAGTTTGGTTAATATTATTTTGGAAATTTGTATGTTTAGTGGCTTAGCTCTTGTGAGTTTTTGTAATAATCTGTGTGAATATGTAGATGTTCTTTACAGCAAATGACCTGCAATCTAATCTCCTATGAGGTATTTCCTTCTTTACTGGTATATGTTGGTATATTGAACCAGCTTTCTCACATAAAACACCTTTTGCACAAACTCATGCGGCTTACTTGTTAGGGTTTAGGTCTTGTGTATATTTGATGGGTTTCTATTCCAAGATAGGAGAATATTTACTTCGTTTTGTTTCAAAGTATAGTCTTTTCTTTAAATTTGGCACTTTCTTGACTGGGTTTTCTACTGCAGGTTTCACGTGGACAAAATGTCTTCGGTCCATGTTTATGTGAGACTGCACAAGGGTCAGACAATTGATGATATATCTGAAGGTCTTTTGGAAGATTGTGCTCAACTAGTCAAGGTGAATTCCATCCAAGGCAAATGCTTCAAATACTTACTATTTTGTGCTTTAACCGTAGCTAGCCATTAGATAACCCTTAACTAAACTATCTGAGTGTCAAAGAAGTTGAGGAGTTTCACCTTATTATATTCCTTGAAGATGGAAACGTGCAACCAGCCCCTAGCAACACTCTCCTTCAGTGAGTAAATCTTGCTTCTAAGTTATTTCTTATAGGAAAGTGTGATCACATATTAAGCTGGTGCAGTTTTGGTGTTCTCTTGATCTCCATCTTAAGATTATGAAAATAACCTATGAGTCTACGACAGTAATTAAAAAACACTTCCCACTTCCTTATTCTCTCCCAGCTTGCTATCAATCAAGAACTTCCATTTCCTTATCCAGTTCCACTTTCCTACTTTTTCTCATAGCTGTGCACTTAGAATGTGAGTGCCATCCTACTAGTATATAACATATTTCTCTTTTTTCAGATTTCGTGAAGACAGTTTTGTGACATCTTTAGGTAATGCCATTGGATTGTCCTGATTGCATTACAGTCTCGCAACTGTATTGTGAGGGCACTTCATGTGTTACATTGGTCCTCTCTCTAAAGCCCCTGACAGCTTGCTTGCAGCATGTGAAAGAAAAGGATTAAATTTATCACTCGTAACACTTTTAAGGAATAACATTTAAGAAAAAAGAAATGAAAGGAGCGTCAAAAGGTCCAAAACAAAGAAACACGCAAACAAATAAATAAGTGAATAAATCTTGAGTTCAAATATTTAATTATGTTTTCAAAATTGAAGAATGGGATTAGATCCAAGGTTGTATGCTTGTTTTTGCTCAGTTCTTTCTTATTGTTTACTTGATTGTGCCATTGGGGGTTAGATTTTCGGTACTAAATTAAATACTATTAACTCCAAAGTTGGAAGTCAAGTATTGTGAATATATATAATATACAAATTGATGTGTTGGCAATATTTAAGTTAGCATCTTCCATGTCATGAAGTTCAGCTTATGATAGTAGTGTTAAAAATCTAGTTAATATTTTGTTTGCACTATGTGCATGAAGTACTGAAACTTCAAAAGAAAAGACAATAATGCATTCTGATAAATATGGGTAATTTAAGGGGGAAAAACTGTCTACTAAATCATTAGTTTAGATTTTTTTTATTACATTTTTTGGGTGTTGCTTGAATAAATTTCACTTAAAATTGTGAGAAATATTGTAACTTTGAGGTTAAAACATCTGTCTCTACTATTTGAGTGTTTAAAAAAATAATAATAATAAAAATAAAAATAAAAACCCACCAGAACTGGGCTTAAATATCACCTCACTATGTTATATCCACTCTTCGCATGTTCTGCATCAACTTGACTTGGGCTGATGGAGATTATGACACTAATTAATGGTCTTGCTTTTTGCCTGCTTTGCATTCAGCGATGCTCTGGCAATGCAGTAACTCATTTCCTTGACATCATTTATATCTGACAGGAAACAAGGTGAATAATGTTGATGTTGTTCACACACCCTGGCAAATTTGAAGAAGACTGCTTCCCTGGATGTTGGCCAAGTTGGCTTCCATAATCCAAAAATGGTGAGCTTTTCTGTTGCAATTTGGTTGAATAGTGCCTATAACTTCCATTTTCCTTCTTTGTATTGAGCGTGGATGTGGGAGATAGCCCTTGTTTGATATTGGTGATCTGTTTAGGTCCGCACTGTGAGGGTGGAGAGGAGCGTATAAATGAGATAGTGAATAGATTGAACCGGACAAAAGTAGAAAGGAAACCAGACTTGAAAGGTATTTTATAGTTTTTGCTTGCTTGTGAGATATTTAGATGGACTTCACCTTCATTATCTAATTTCAGAGGATATATTATTTTTGTTGTCCTATTTGATCGAAATAATAGTTAATAACTACTCTCTGTTTTATTATTATCTTGTTTTCCTACATGTTTTTGTAATTTTTACTCTATATGTACCACTACTAATTTTCAATATGTTATTTGTTTCTGAGCTGTACATCTTTTGAATATTAACATGCTTTTGATTTTCATTTTGGATATAAAAGTTATTTGTACCTGTATATTGTGCAGCGGAGCGCGAAGCAGAAAGAGCAGAGAGAAAACTACAGCTGAGAGATAAAGTGAGTATTGTATTTTCTCTGCTGTTTTCTGACAAGAGTAATAAATGGGTGTGTATTATTATGCTTGCATGAGCTTGAAATCTTGTTAAGTATTCAATTTTTTTATAACTAGGAAAAGGATTATCTTTGCAAATATTCGAATCTACAGAAAAATTCTTTGTGCCAGTTAACTAGTATTTGCAAATTGTTTGTATTCCTTTTTACCTTTGGCACTAAGTTTCTTCTTGAATTGTAGTCATCAGTTTCATCTTGCTGCCTCATTCGTTATCCTGGCATTTCCATTTCCTTTTGTGAGCTTTCACCTTGTTTCCACATAGTCTGTGATTGTAGTAGTGACAGCAGGCCCATATTAATAACTGATATCCTGAACTGTACCTGTGGTTCATGTTAGTTTACTACATAAAGCTAATTCATCCTCACCACTTTGAAAGTTTTGTGGATATTGCAAATAATTTCAAATTTGGAAATCTCGAGATGTTTTGGGCAATTATAGGTTGATTACTTTTGCTTCGATTTCCCTAGCAGCTGTTACTTTTCTCTCCTGGATACTTTTGTTGCTTTCAATTTCCTTGCAAATTCTCTCTTCATTTTCTGTGTCCTAGCTATTGTATTTGTTAATACTCTAGGCCCAATTATTCCCTCAATTAAATGTTCAAAATTGTCAGTTATTGCTTGTAACCACATCCCTGCAAACTTTTCTAGTTTGCTGCTAGCAAAATGATTTGTCTTTCATTCCTCCAGTCCTCTTCTCTAGTTATGCATTTGATCACCACTAGTTCCAATTCCCCAAAGCTTACATGGTTAGGAGATGAGTTCAACAGTTTATATCAAGCTATCCAACACCCTCCTTCACGGGTGGCTTTATCTTTCATGTGGATAGTATGGTAATGATCTTGAAATCCATTGACTCAAAAAAGAATATTAGAAGCAAGATCTTTCTGTACAAAAAATACCAAGAACAAAGGCTCAACAATGGTTGATTTGAAACAAATGCCTAAGGCTGGAAGAAGAGTATTAACTTGAAAATTTATTAATTCACAAAAAACTGATCAGCCTAAAGGCTTACTATAATTATTTATAGTGACAAGGAGACCTAACGATACTTTGAAGCAATTGAAATTGGCAGTTTCTTAACAAGTACACAAAAATGAGGAAATACAACAAAAATTTCCAAAAATGGAAATATTGAATGGAATAAAAAACTACTAATTTAGGTTGACATGATGAAGCCAGATTCGATGGAATCGAATTCTAACTTCTATAGTAAGAGTAATTGAAGTTGCAAAACTAAATAAATAAATAAACATAGAAAAATCTCGAAAGTGACGGTCTAAATGATGGAATTCACTTGAAAATTCAGCGGGGTCCATGGCGAAACAATGGATCCTGTTCATAATGATGTTTGTCGTCAACCTATCAAATTTCACGCGATTTTGAGCACTTGCTATTTAATTGCTAGTTGTGCTTTGTGCCTTGTTTGGCCATGTGCATGTTATTTGGTCCAAGAATTGCATGACCAATCATGTTGCATCATAAACAAACCAAACAAAGTCAAAACAAACATACCAAACAAGGAAACAAATGCAAACTGGGAGACTTAAACTCAATGTGTGTGTTTGGTTTGAGTTTTTTGGATTAAATTTTTTGAAAACTGGATTTTTTGTTTTTCGTGTTTTTTGTTTTTAGTGAATATTTTTAAAATTTTAAACATTTTTTTAGAACTTTTTTAGATATACCTTACTTAGATGTATCTAAAAAGTAAAAAAATTGTGAAAAAATATTTTAAAATTTTAATAAATACATAAAAATATGAAAAATATACTGAATTCTCGGTTTTTTTTTTTTTTTTTTTGTATTTTTGTATTTTTGGTATTTAGTGAATTTTTTTAAAGATTTTGTTCACAAAAATTATTTTTTTATGTGTATTTATGCTAGGTGTGTCTAAAAATTAAAAAAATTGCTTAAAATATATAAAAAAAAATTTCAGTAAAAACAAAAAAACACAAAAAACAAGAAAGTATAAGTTTCTGAAAAGTGTTTTTAGAAAACCAAAAACAAGCAAATTGAATATACTTCTCTGAATGAAAGCTCTAATAGTATGTTGTTAGAAAATGAGTCCAACAATATATATCAAACTATCCAACAACACCCATATCGACTTTACGCTTTGCTGTCCTACCCTATGGGAAACAGGCCAAGTCTTACCAGGGATGATGCCATTCTGGTACTCAGAGCAGGATTAACCAACCTGGTAAACCAATATGCTACAATATGGCATGGAATGGGCTAGTAAAACGACATAGTTTGAATTTGATGGGGTGGTTCTGATTGGAGAATTTCCTGTATCCCCATATCAGTAATGAGGGTTAGCCTAAAATACACTACTTAACTGCTTTGATATAAATATGTATCCCATCACCGTATGTATGTTGTACACCTGATGCAATATGGGCCTAAAATCTAGAATTATCTTTTTGTTTTTTTGATTGGAAAAAGTTAGTTTTCCAGCACAAAAGCTCTCCATGTGGTGATAGTTTTGGTCATGAATCTGAACTTGCTTATTTAATCTGGAACATATGCAAAACTGAATTTATTGGTATCCTTACACGGTGGCAAGTTGGGATTTATTGTTTTCAGTCTCCTGTCCTATGCTGCTCTTTTAATTAAAAACACAATCTTTTTTCTAACCATTCTCCTGTCAAACACTGCTCTTTTGATTAAAAAGTGTTGCGTTGTTTTCTCAATCTTTTGGGTTATTTGGTTGGAAATGAATGCAATGATCTTTGAGGAAAACTTTGAATACTTGGATTTCTTGTGAGAGTGTCACCTGGCATCATTTTGTGCTTACGTTTCTTCCCTGTTTAAAGGGATTCTGTTCTTTTTGATTTCTAGAGATTGAAGAGCTCTTTGTGATGTATAATTTGTTTTCTTTGATATGTTTGGTTTTGTTTGTTCTACCCTTGTACAGTATTCCTTGTCCCCTTCTTGTATCTCTTTTTATTTTTCCGAATAATTTTTTTTTTTTTTTTTTTTGTTGATCAAAAAAAAAAGAAAAAAGAAAAAAGAAAAAGAAAATAGAGCTTTTTGTAGTATGTGAGATATTTGCTCTTTTTATACTTTTTTTTTTTTTTTTTCCCCGTTGTTTGGTGGACTTCTTTTGTACTTAAATCTTTTTTCTCTAATAAAGTTTAACCTGTGTCACTGATAAAAAAAAATGGGTCAGCCTTTTCTAACATATTCAAGTTGAAGGCATCAAATGGATAAGAGCAAAGAAAAAAAAGAAAATGGTTTCATGTTGGGTTTTAAATTAAGGCCTCGTTTGGGATGTTAGCTGTTTTAGTTGGCTTTTTGGCTATTTTAGCCAATGAAAAAAAGTTGTGTTTGGGATGATTTGATTTGTAGGATGTGACATTTTGTCTTATTAGCTATTTTAGCATTTTTTTTGTCTTTATTGGCTATTTTAGCCTCAAACCATCATCCCAAACATCCCCTAAGTTACATGTTCAATTAATCCCCATTCTTCGATTTTATTTTCATCAGTTCATGAGACAGATTTTTGTTTCTTGGTTGTTAAATATAACTCCTTTTTTTCCCCTTGAATTGATGTCTTATTTTTAAAATGGAATTATTGCCTATGATTTTTGCAGAAACGTCGGGAGGAGATGGAGAGGCTTGACAAGGAGAGGCAAGCAGAGGTGAGGAGCTACAAGAATTTGATGGTAGCTGAAAAGATGACATCTAACAATGAGATAGCATCAGCCAACAAGTCCTTGCAAGAACTGGAAGAGGACATCATGTAAACAAGGTATAATTACGACTTTTTAAACAATTTGCCACCTAATTGCAGGAATCAAGAAATCTGCCCACCGATGAAATATAAGGGGATGGGGGGAGGTTTTTTTTATTTTTATTTATAAATTCTGTTGTGTGCGATTTGGCATAAATATAATCCTTGGTGAGATGAACTCAATTTAGTCCTGAACCTCTCTGTTTTATGGATGTTAATAAGAAGGAAAGGATTTGTTATTTAATAGAGAGATTGACTTTGATTTGTATCAACAGATTGGTTACTTTGATAATGATGATGTTACCCATAACCATATATCAGATATATATTATATTATTATTATTTATCCATATCAGTTAAAACTGATAATATCTATATCCTGAGTGGTTATCCTAAATAGGTTTGAATTTAATTCAAAATCTATTTGGATAAGATCCAAATTATGTTCAAATGGTCATGCCACATGGACGCCCATTACTAACAGTTTATGGGTCCCAAAATGTAAGTCTGGGGCTTGGCTTGAATGACAAATGATAAACCTGGTTTGAACTAGGATAATTATCTTTTCTATCAATTATATTTTTGTTGGTTTCATGTCTGTGATTGGTTTGTTTGTTTTTGTAATATCATAACTTCTTAAAAATGAAATGCAATATCAATTCACTGTGGTTGACTAGACTTTACTTTTTAAAGTAATTTTGGTGCCCTTTTTTGATATACATACATTAGAAAAGTTTTTGGACATTGAAAATTGGCGTAACCTACGTTTTCATATTCAGTATTTTATGACCTTCTAGAGAATTAAATTTCTCCTTGTCATAATAGTTTAGTTATGATTGCTAGGATTTACACACACACACACACACAAAGTGATTGCTAAGATTCACCTGGGATACCTAGAAGCAATCTGACTTATCCAGATAGGAGGGGCCAGAAGTGATTGGTATGCACATAAATGAATTGATAGAGGAAAGGGGCTTTGAGACCTATTTATATTATCCACCACGGATGATCTCAGTATGGGAAGCCTGAACTATGCCTAGATACAAGAAAACATTCAGAGGATAGAGGCCCAATGTAATAAATTTTTTTTACTCCCAACATGCTTTCAGTCTCTTCAAGGTGGTCGGCAGTAGCAATCTCATTGTTAAAGTCCCCGGATGAAGGTGATACCGACCATATTATGATATGCAAAATCCTTTCCCCTTTTGTTAGTTCCTTCTTAGTTAGTTGACTTCAATCCCGCAAGATTTGTTCAAGATATGTTTAAGCGTTAATATGTTCGAGATATTATAATATGTTTAAGCGTTAATCTTGTTTATTTAAAATTGATATATCTTTAACGAGTTGAATTTGAATAGTTTGGTATTTAGGCCCTAACATCTTAATAGCTATATTAGAGTCTTATGCTATTACTTGTTTAGCTGTATGTTTCCTTGAACCCATACCTCATTCCTACGTCAATGAAGCCTGCCTTCATTTTATTCACAAAATATTCTCTCTTTATAAGAATATACATATGTTTATGTACGTTTCCTTATTTATATGATTTCTTCTCTTATATTTTTTGAAATTTGCATTTTTATAGCGATTAGTATATAATATGAAGGATCAGTTTTGTAGAGTATTCCAAAATTTTGGAGTATGCTTCTATTTTTTTTTTGGAATGCTTCTATTTTTAATTTATTTATTAGATTGGATAGTCTGTATTTTTTATGAATTTTCTAGCTTAGAACTATAAAACCAAACTGGAACCCATCTACCTTTTTTTTTTTCTTTTTCAAGATTGGTTTTAGGTTGGTCTGGTTGGATTTCTAAATTTTAGAATCGTAGTGACTGATTTGGTTCTTAATTCACATCATAACCGAACTAAACGGGTACATGAAGACCATTTATGTAGACGCATGACTTCATCATTTGGGAGGATAGATTGGAGAAGAGCAAACCCAGCCTAGAACTTTTAATAAAGTTAAGATATCAAGATCAATGTGCAAGTGAAAAACATAGGTGAAATCAAGACTAAATTTGGTGTTGGTAGACCTTGTAAATTATATTTGAGTCTTCTCTTGCTATATTTCAAAATCAATTAAAAATTGGATTTTGGCGTGGGATGAAGTTCTGGGGATCAGAGAGACCTCTTCCCCTAGAAATTCAGTGTCCAATTCCACCATTACACACCACCGGCCACTGCCACCATTACCAACCCTTCTCCAGCCGCATCGCCTCTTCTCCAGTCTCTCATTCACCTTTGCCCTCCTCTTCCTCCTCTTAGATCTAGGGTTTCAAGTTGATAGGGCAGCGGTGGTCTGGGTGTTGGAGGAGGGTTAATAATTTACAGTTTCAGTTTTTTTTTTTTTTTTTTTGAAATGAATCATTTTTTAAGACTGTAAAATTTTACAGTTTCATAACTTTTTTTAGAACTGTAAAATTTTACAATTTTATAATATGTTTTTCAGTTTGATTAATAATGATAAATGTTTAATAGAATCATACTTTAAAACTGTAACATTTTGTAGTTTCAAAACTTGCTTTTCATTAGTTTGATCAACATTGGAGATTACTTGCTTAAACCCTACAAAAATTAAAAATAACATATATTTTTTCTCATTGTTACTGTTTGTTGTTATGTTTTTTGTTTTTTTAAATTTTTTCCCTTTCAGTTTATTAATATTTAGCACACTTTGCTATATTTTTTCGCTCTAATTTCTCAATTTATTCTTTTTTTCTTTTCCGACAATATTTTGGACATTCTGGTGAGTCTGCGGCGAAATTCTTGATATCCAGTGAACATTCTAGACATTCTTACAACTTCTGGTGACATTTAGAACACTCCAGTGATACTCTAGCGACTTTCCGGTTATGTTGAACATTCTGACGAGTCTCCAGTGACCGTCTAACGAAAGTCCGACAGTAGTGGAATATAGTAGTGTTTTTAAATTAAAAAAAAATAGAATTTTTTTTATAACAATTAAAAATATATAAGATTAATTGGTGCAAGTGTTTTGTTTTGGGATTAAATAAGTTTTGAACTTTGTGTATGTGATTTATCGGTAAGTTTTCCATTAAAATTTTGAGGCTAATATTTTAAAAAAATAAAATAAAGATAATGTATTTTTTGTCAACTATCTTAGAAGTAATCAAGTAAAACAAATATAACATAGGATTTAATTTTGTAAATTTGGGAAATAGAATTGAGTTAAAATTAAATATTTCATCTGGTATAGATTTTTTATTTTACTTATTTTTTCATCAAGTGGAGATTATTTTCATTAAACTTAACTTGTAAAGAGAATTTTTAATTTTTTCATACACTTTACTTTTAGTTAAGGATAATTTTTTTTTGATATGACATGTTAATACAGTACGAATCGAACACAAACCGAAAATAACATGACATAATAATATGATATAACAAAAGGACGGAATCTGTTAATATTGTGTTAATTTTGACACAAACTTGAAATGACATGATAGAAATCACAATCCAACACAACACAATGTCCACCTTAGTTACAACTTATTTAGCTGACAATAAGTAAAAAATAAAAAAAATCCATCCATGTTTGGCAAATGCTAAAAAAGCACATTTTCTGAAATTTTATTTTTAGTGAATCTTTAAAAAATTGTATTAGATGCTTCTTTTTTTTTTGATAAAATTATTTTCAAGTGCTTCTAATCTAAAAAGATTAAAAGATTTGAAAAGAAAAAGCATGTATATAAAGCAAAGAGAAACTAAAATCAACAAAGAAAAAATGAACACTTATTTGTGAAAATTTAACATGACTTGAAAACATGTAAATAAATTCGTTTTGAAAACATATTGCTCATAATTTCTAATGTCAGCATGAATTATTTTACCATTTTTTTTCTTCTCCTTGACTTTGATCTAAATTAGTTATTTTAGACTATTGGAATTATATAATTGTGAATTCAATTTCTCCACAAGAGGTTTTTTTTTTTTTTTTTTTTTTTTTAACCTTTTTTTTTTCAATTAACCTATTATCTTTCTACTTACATGCATGCTTGGAAAGTAGATTTTGGGCTTTTTTTAGACTAAAATTCACAAAAGGACAAAATATGTTAAAATAATTAATTTGACAAAATGTCACATTAAACCGATAATCATTTCACTTTTTTTCTCACAAACATTACATCTAATTACAAAAAAATTGAATCATTTTTCCAAATACAAAAATTTTAACCTACTAAAATAGTCAAAAATTAAAATAACTTACTAAAATAGTCAACTTTCCAAACCAGGCTAGATATTCTAGCAGTCAATCATGAGTGTCAAATTTGAAACATAGAAGTAGGAAATGAAAAGGGATATCATGGTTCACAATCAAATTAAAAACAAACAGCTCTAATGGAAAGGGAAACATGGTAGTACCTCTACTTCCAACAGGCTTCACTTAGTTCTGAACATGTTATTTTGTTCCATGTTGGTACCTAATCTCATTTGATCTGTTCTTCTGATGACGCATTTTCACTCTAAAAATTTCCACAAACCATTCTTCTTTCCTTAGAATACTGCTCCACATCCATATCCCATCAACACTGTTTCCCATCCAAAACCATCAAGTCTGCATTTATAATTGTGGCTTGAAGAGGATGGTAAAGATGGTGATTCTGTTACCTTGGGAGTCTTACATTCCTTTGATAATGGAAAACCACACAAGTCTGCATTTCCTCCATACGAAGTGTTTGAAAATGTTTCAAATTGCTGGCCTCGTGGTATAATCCCAGTTAGATTATTTTGCAAGACATCAAAAACTTCAAGGAATGTCAAGCTTGTTAGTTGTTGAGGTATCTCACCAGAGAGCTTGTTTTGGGATAGATCCAAGGACTCGAGCTCAGTTAGATTCTCTAAAGACAATGGAATCGAACCTGTGAAGCCATTTCCTGAAAAATTTAGGACATAGGGTGTTTTAAGTCTTCCAATGGACATTGGAATATTTCCATCAAACTTGTTGTGCGAGAAATCAACAACTTTCAAGATGGTGATAATCCTTACGAGTACCATTTCCAGTCCTTTATTCATTATGGTTACCGAATAATAACCATAACCATTACCCATATATTTTAAGGAGGATTTGTCTTCATCATCCATCATCATTGAAGGTATGCTCTCAAATAATTTTGATGGCAAAGTACCTGCAAATTCATTGTGAGACATGTCAATGATATGTAAATTGGTGAAGGCTAATCTCTTCCTTGGTTGCTCTATGGGACCATGGAATTTATTGTCTCGCAAGACAATAACCTTCAATTGGGGCAGGTTCTCCAGCCAAAATGGAAAAGCATCTTCTATGAAATTATGACCCAGATTCAAAATTTCTAGGTTCGTGCAATTTGCCAATGATCTTGGAAGCACCCCGTGCAATCCATTGTTGCTAATGTCAAGTTCTCGCAACCAGCTTACATATCCAAAAGTTTGAGGGATGGTCCCACTGAAATTGTTACTCTGCAAGTTTAACATGGTTAATCTTCCAATGAAGTTCTCCAAACAGGCACTACTAAAGAAATGGTCTTTTGAGTCGGTTTTTTGAGTCGGCAAATTTTACCGTCGCAAAAGGTAGCCTTTTTGAGACGGCACAGAGTTACCGACTCAAATACCAAACCTTTAGTGTCGGCACCGTTGGCCGACACAAAAAATTAATATTTGATAGTATTATTTGAGTCGGTTGAATTTACCGACGCAAAAGATAGACCTTTTGAGTCGGCATAGACCTTTTGCGTCGGTAAATTTGTGCCGACGCAAAAAATTAGACCTTTTGAGTCGGCATAGACCTTTTGCGTCGGCAAATTTGTGCCGACGCAAAAAATTAGACCTTTTTGTGTCGGCAACTGATGCCGTAGCAAAAAAAAAATTTATAACCAAGATATATATTTATTTACTTGATTATATTTAATAAATATATTTATTTATACATATACTTTTATATTAATATTGAGTGTATATACTATAAATAATATATATCTCGTTTAATATCTATTGGGTGTAGTGCGTTGACCTTGGGTCAACTTGTCCAAATAGGTGTGTGTTCGAACCTTGGGAGCCTCAGTGAGAAAATTATGAGTTAAATTTTTTAAAACATTTAACCACTTTTTGAGTCGGCAATCTACCGTCTCAAAAAATTAAAACTTTTTGCGTCGGCAGATTGCCGACTCAAAAACTTTTTGCGACCCCACCATTTTCGTCCCTTGAGTTGCCGTCGAAACCATATCCAAAAGTTTGAGGGATGGTCCCACTGAAATTGTTACTCTGCAAGTTTAACATGGTTAATCTTCCAATGAAGTTCTCCAAACAGGTAGGAATTAATCCGCCGAATTGGTTATTGGACAGATCAAGATATATAAGAGAATGAAGATTGCAGAGTGGATTGAGTTCTTCATTTAGGTGGTTGTTCAAAAGGTCTAGCACCTCCAAAAATTCCCTTTGGATTTTCAGAAATTCAGGAATTTTACTTATGTTGCAAGACGACAATCGTAATGTCCCAATGTTTTGGAAAGAGGAGGGAGTGGAGTTGGTGGTGGTCAATGATAGACCACTGTTTGAAAGATCCAAAAAATCCAAATATTCAAGCTTTGCAAACGTGTGCAGCTCAACAGTGTTGCTTAAATTATTTGACGAAAGATCAAGATAGATAAGGTTCACAAGATGAAACAAGCAAGAGGGAATGGGATCTGTTAGTTGATTGTTTGAGAAATATATAGCTTGAAGTTGCGAGAAATTGGAAAAAAGTTGAGGAATTGGGCCTTCAAAATTGTTGTATGAAAGATCAAGCCAAATTAATCGCGTGAGGTTTGTAAGTGATCTCGGAATCGTACCAGAGACATTGCAGTCACTGAGGTATAGCTCCTCCAAGTTCTCAAGTTGGCCGATGGAATTAGGTAGCTCTCCGGTGAAACCTGTCGAAGAGAGATCCAACGACCTAAGGTGCCTAAGGTGCCGGTGAGTTCCATTAATAAAACTTGGAAGTTTACCTGTGAGTTCTCTTCTCTGTTACCGCGTAACCACAGGTCTTGCAATTTCTGTAAGTGGAAAATGCTATTGGAGAAGTTATTTCCTTGCCAGACTTCTTCTGATGATGATTGTATTGGGCCAGAAAGATGGGAGCCAGAGAGGTTTAGATGGGTCAAATTTGTGAAACGGCCAAATGAAGGTAAAATTTTAGAGTGATTGAAGTTGTTGTAAGAAAGGTCGAGGGATTGAAGGTGAACAAGATTAAAGAGGCTGCTGTTTGGATGGATGGTACCATATAGGCAGTTTACAACTGAGGTCGAGGCCAACGACATGAGAAGTGGTGTTATCACATGTGACCCCATCCCATGCACAACAATCTGTACCCTCTTTCCAATTATCAGTGATTGGAGCAGAAAGATCATAGCAATTGAAAGAAGCAGAGCAATTGAAGGAAAAGAGTTGCATAAATTGGAGCAAAGCAGTGCTCTCATCATTATGGCAAAGATGTGCAGAAGAAGACCATCAGAAAATTAGGGAATACAGGATACATATTGTGAGTTGATAATTGGATAGTAAGAAACCCATTCTTACACCAGTATTGGGTGGTAGAGAGGGAATTGGATATGATGCTTCTTCTATATGCACTCTCCTTTTTATAACTTAATAATAATTCAATAATAAAAAATTATAAACTGAAAATTGTCACTGTATATCCTCACATATTATCATTGTATTAGTTTAACGGACTCCATCACTTGCTCAATCTTGTTACTAATATAAAAATAATATATAAGATGATAAATTACTTGTAATAAATAAATGTAATTAGTATTCAGCATAGCATTATTGAAGTAATGAGTCCCAACACTTGCTCATTTTTGTTACTAATGATATAATACTAACATTAGAGGAGATATATAATTTTTGGTAAATAGATGTACTCATCATTGTATTATGAATAAAATTGTGTTTGAATCATGAATTGGTATAAGAATTTGAAAAAAGAAAATCAAATATAAGAGAAATAAAAATAAAATATAAGTTAAATTTTTTTATCCACTTTCTCACATTTTCGTTTTCTTTTTCAAATCATTATTTAAATTCATAATCAAATATGATTTAATTTTTTTTTTTCAAACAGTGCCTAAATAAAGGACCCACAATATTGTTCTTATTTGGTGCTTTATGTCAATAGCAAGCCTGACTAAATAAACAAATCTGTGTTGATTCTTCGGTACTATGAGTTTCAGATCTCCTGTACCCATTCTTATGTACTTATCTTCTATCCCATTCATCTCAGACTGCCACGTCGTCAATTTTGAAATCATGAGTGGGACACAAGATGTGTACAGAAAATGAGTATAGGTGATTCGAAGCCGGTACTATGGACTTGAAATTATTAGATTGTCCTATTTATCTCCTCACATATATATATATATATATATATTTTAATTATATTAGTATACACACAGGACTAACATTAGAGAGTGAAATGGCTAACTAAGTCCCTATTTGATGACCATATATAATGTCTTGTTTGTTTTTAACGATGAAAGGTAGGATTAGATTAGTAGTGAGAAAAGGTTTATAAGATTATTTTTATTTTGAGAAATAAAGAAATAATCTAATCTATATAAAATAATTAATAATTTAATCTATGTGGGAGCCAAACAAAAGTGGACACAGATAGGCCGAATAGACATTTAGATAATCGGTACATGTTATACTCCCCCCCGTCCTGTACGTTCTGGATGCCGAATATATTAGTCGGCCAGCTGAACGAGGGGCCGATTGGAAGTTGGAATACGACGAAAGAAGGGCCGAGTGAGCAATCACCCGACGGATTAGAGTGGGCCCCATCCTAAGGACTGGGAGCGTATATAAATAGAAGAGCAACAACCAACGAGAGGTATGTGAGAACTATTACGCTTAACTTAAGATACAAGCAATCGAGAGAGTATATATTGACTTATCCATCGGAGTGCTAATTCCAGCACCTCCGACCCGAATGTTCATTCTTTTTCAGGTTACTAGCTGAGGATCTCGAGTGCCCCATTGGATCCAAAGAGTATTTCTAGAACCACTCCCCCACAATTGGTGCTATCTGTGGGAATACTCAAGCACATCTATGGCGGGCATGACGGAAGATCCTCCGGTAGTCGCTGGCAACCCTACATCGCAAGACGAAACCACTCCAAGCAACATACTTGGGCCAGAGAATATTACCGCAAGAAGGGTCTTGAACTTCGATTCACCCTCGACATAAGAACATGAGACAATGCAAGAGATTATGGAGCAAGTGAAGCAAAACGAACAAAGGTTGGAAAACATGATGGTTGAGAACGAGCACCTTCGACAAGATTTGGCCTTGGAAGTGGCAAAATCCCAACAAGCCACACACCAAGACTCGGGACGACCTCTGAGAAGGGATGGTCGACAATCTCGAATTCGTAGACATGATAGTGGCAGTGTCTCTGACTCATCATCCCCCGAATCTACAAAGAAGGGACGAGTCGACATCTCCAGTTCTTCTGAGGAAAGTCCGCGTGCACGGAAGAAGCGAAGAAGAAATGATTCAGATGAAGAGGATCAGCATGACCCCTTTGTACGACGGATTGCAAGGGCAGTGCTACCCAAAAAGTTCAAAGCACCGTCATTCACCTTGTATGATGGTAAATCAGACCCCACTAATCACATTCGCCATTACAAGCAAGCCATGACCCTCCATGTAGACGACGAGACCCTCATGTGTTGAATATTTTCAAGCAGTTTAGGACCACTAGCTATCATGTGGTATTATAAATTGGAGCCGGCTTCGATCAAGAGCTTCCACCAACTCCAAAAATCCTTCAGGGCAAGGTTCATCACTAATGAGGTCCAGCCGAAGCAAGCCGATTCTTTGTGGGCAATGCAAATTCAACCGGGGGAAACCCTTCGTGCGTATTCGGCGAAGTATTGGGAATGTTTTAATTTGGTAGATGATGCCTGCAATGACCCCATGGCCATTACCGTCTTCAAGATAGGGTTACATCCAGACAGTGCCCTCCGCAGCTCTTTGACTAGACGGCCCCTAAAAATGGTTTGGTCATTGATGAAAAAAGTTGAGGAATACTACAAAGTAGAAGATGATGCCCTCCGGGTCAAAGACGGGCATAAAGCCACTAAGTCGGCCCCGCCTGAAGTCGTGCAGCCGATAAACGCTATACCACCACGGAGCCCTGAATCACGGAATCGGGCTAAGCGAGATAGAAGACGGGATTCACGCCTATCAAACGACCAATGTCTACACCGAGCTAATGAGCAGCTTCAAGTGGATAGCAGGCACGCAAGGCGCGCCGACAAGAAATACACGGACTTATCAGAGCCGATCAGTGTGGTTATGGTTAAGATTCAACACCTTCCATTTTTCAAATGGCCATAAAAAATAGTGGGACCTCCCGACACGAGAAGACGAGATAGGCGGTGTGAATATCACAAAGATCACGGTCATGATACCGGCAGTTGCTATGCTTTGAAAGACCACCTTGAGGAGTTGGTACAAGACAGTCTGCTCCAGCAACACGTCCGAAAGAACAACTCAACCAAAACAGTTGCCCTACGGCAGGACTCACTTCCGCTCGGCGTCATCCATATGATATACAGCCTGCCAACAGCCCCAATCGTGCATACAATTCAGTCGCATCTAGGCCCCTAAAAGCAAATCACACTAGCAAAACGTCCCCATGAAGCTCTAACTATTATCTTCGACGATTCTGATTTGATCGGCATAACACTCCCCCACATTGATCCATTGGTCATCGAACTACGCGTAAACTGATTCACCGTTGAACACGTTCTCATAGACCAGGGGAGTACTTCGGAGGTTATGTATTACAAGACCTTCATCAAACTCGGGTTCACCTAGTCAAACCTGTCTCCGACTCCTTATTCATTATTCGGCTTCAACACTAATCCAGAATACCCGTTGGGCAAAATCACACTACTAGTTCGAGCGGGCTCTCGAATAGTGGATGTGAAATTCTTGGTCGTCAAGCTGCCTTCGCCGTATAATCTCATCATGGGGCGAACTTGGTTGCATACCATGCAGGCCGTGCCAAGCACCTATCATCAACTGCTCCACTTTCTGACAGAACGTGGCATTGAGCAAATCTGTGGTTCCCAGAAATCGGCACAAACACGTTATCTCCTTGCTGCGACGACACCAAAAGAGTTGGAAGTGAATTCAATTGAAGTGCCGGATCGAGAGAGCCTCGACGATGTTGGGCGACTCCCAAGTGAAAATGCCACGAAAGCCTTGGATCAAGTTGAATTTGACGGGAATCCAAATAGGTTCTTCATGGTCGGCGCCTCCTTGAATGAAGGCGACAGGTAGCAGCTAATTTCTTTCTTGCTCGGCAACCTTGATGTATTTGCATGGACACCATATGAGATGTCGGGTGTGGATCCGTCTGTTTCGCAGCACTGTTTAAACGTTGACCCTAAATGCAAGCCGATTATTTAGAAAAGCTGGCGGTCAGCCGCAGAACACACTGCTGCTGTTGTTGAGGAAGTTGACCAGTTGCTCGATGCCGGGGCAATCCGGGAAGTTACCTACCCTACATGGCTGTCAAACACTGTGGATTTCACGGACTTAAATAAAGCTTGTCCCAAGGATTGTTTTCCTCTCCCCAGAATAGACCAACTTGTAGATGCCACAGCGTGTCATCGATGTATGAGCTTCCTCGATGCCTATAGAGGCTACCATCAAATCGCCATGCATCCGAAGGACCAAGACAAAACTGTATTCCCCACCCAAGAGGAACCTATTGCTATAAGGTTATGCCTTTTGGGCTGAAGAATGCAGGGGTAACTTACCAAAGACTAGTCACCGCCATGTTCAAGGAGCAACTCGGCCGTACTATGGAAGTGTACATTGACGATATGGTGGTTAAGTCCAAAGAAGAGCAAACTCATCTAGCCGATCTGGAGGAGACATTCGGCATTTTACGAAAGTACAAAATGAAGCTGAATGTTTCCAAGTGTGCATTTGGGATCAGATCCGGCAAATTCCTTGGCTATATTGTCAACCACTGAGGAATCGAAGCCAACCCAAGGCAAATCACAGTAATCTTGGAACTCGGTTCCCCTCGATCGGTGAAGGAGGTTCAAAAGTTGATGGGGATGACTGCTGCACTCAACAGGTTCATCAGTCGTTCCACAGATCGCTGCCAATAATTTTTTCATACCCTACGACAGGGCAAGGCTTTTGAATGCACCTTTGAGTGCAAAACCGCTTTCAACGGTCTGAAGACCTACCTCCAATCAGTTCCACTCTTGACAACACCTTCGAAAGTGACCCGCTCATTTTATATCTGGCAGTCTCCGACCGAGCCATCAGCGCCGTATTGTTAAAGGAAGAGCTTGGGGAGCAACGGCCAGTGTATTATGTGAGTAGGGCAATGGTTGACGCCGAAACACGTTGCCTTCCGTTGGAAAAACTCATCCTAGCCCTTAT